GCTGCGGATTAACGTCCGGAGCGCGTCGGCTGTTGGCCAAACCCCGCTATCCGGGCATAGCTGCTGACTAAAGCGGCCAAAACCGAGTAGGAATCAATCAAATCAAATCAAATCCTGTGTGTGATATTGGCAGCAGATGATGATGTTTTGATCCAAAGGGCAACTCGCGACTGTGGTCTTCTCTGCGAGCGTTGGTGCGATATGCTTGATTTGTTCACCGTCAGTTTCGTGCAGTCTGTCACATACGACCATACCCATTGGAAAACTCGGGATCCCGTTCGCTCTCCCATAGATAAGCCAATGAGGGCCGGATTAGTAGTTGGGTCGGTGACGACCAGCGAATACCTGGTGTTGTATGTTTTTGACATTGTCTGAATTTTTTTGAAGTTTCACCGACATTACACGAGCAGGCGAACTTTGCTGTCTTCGACTAGGTTGACAAGTTAAGTAACTAACATATGACTAATGCAACCTAAGTCTTAGTGGGCATGCACGGACAGCACCGCCTCACCAGCAAGACAAGCCCTCCGCCACATATCCAATCTCGGCTCACCCGGGGCCTTCGTGGAAGACTTCCCGAACCTCATGACTGCGCATATATAACGGCATGGCCGGCCTAATGGTTAACTTCGGCTAGCAACTAATGTAGTTTTCGTCTAGGCAAGCTTTCTCGCTGGAGAATTCTGAAGCTAGTTGTGTTGATTCCACTCGAGAAGCAACTTGTATTGACCGTAGCCAGTTAGCACCATGTCCGCACGAACTCGGTGCAAAGTAAGGTAGTTGAGACAGAGGTTCTAAATTTCTTCAGGTCGCCGCAAGAAATCCCCCCATACTAGTCTGTACTCAAGCTTTGGTACGTGTGCCATTCAAAATGCCTTTTAAACGCGTTTAATTCCTAGGTACCTTAGCATGGTCATCGGCTTCCCAGGACAGAGATTTAACGTGGGGCCCCATGGGCTATTAATACGACATTAGTATGGAGTAGCTCCATCCGCCTCATCCTAGTCACAATCTTATCCCGTTTATGCTTCCACACCCTAGTGGGTTCTCAACAGGGAGAAGAACGGCGGAACACGAATCGACCAAGTTTTCGGGTCAAGAAACCGAAGCCAGTCCCATCGGTTAGTCTCCTTGCAGGCGAACACGAACATGCCAAGGCATCAGAAAGGGGTTGGCTGATTCTAGCGCGGGGAAATAGAGGAACATCCCGGACGTCTACTTTGGTTGACGAGCCGCATTTTGAACACGAACATGCCAAGAGCGTAGAACGGGCCGCCGTGTGACATCAGAGCCGGACCGCATGGGTCAACACCGAAGTTAGAGCAACGGCATCCATATTATCCACTACGTAGGGACCAAGACTAGGCGGAGGGACCCGCCTCAAAGCAGGGCATCTCGTAGGACAGCAGACATAAGAGGTGGTCATGGCCACGATGCGGGCTTCTCCTCCACCTTCTGACCAGTTGTCAAACGTATTCGCTTTATCGCCATCCTCACATCTCCTATCGGCTCGTGGCTTGGGCCGTCCTTCGTTACAAATCAACCCATCCGTCACTCGTTCAACCATCCCTTCACTCCACGATGCTGTCCAGCTCGCTCCTCGCCCTCTTCTCCCTCGCAGCAACGGCCGCCGCAACCGCAATCCCTCGCGCAGACACCACCTGCACAAACCCAGAGGTCCGCAAAGAATGGCGTGAACTCACCACAGCCGAGAAAGCAGAGTATATCCGCGCCGCCGTGTGCCTCCGCAACCTCCCCAAAGCCAAATACGCCGCCATCGACGCCGTCACAACGCGCATGGACGACCTTGTCTACACCCACTTCGCTCTCAACACCGACATCCACTTTGTCGCAAACTTCCTGCCCTGGCACCGCTGGTACGTCAAGCTACACGAGGATCTCCTCCGGTCCGAGTGCGGCTTCAAGGGAACGCAGCCCTACTGGGACTGGAGCATCGACGCCGACGCGCTCGATACGCAGCACTCCCCCGTCTTCGATCCCGTCACTGGCTTCGGTGGCGATGGCAAGCGCACAAGTAGCGACGTGCCGGGCTTTCAGCGGTGCGTCGTCGACGGTCCGTTTGCCAACACGAATTTGACATTGGCTATGGGGTGGCCTGATATGAACACGCCCGGAAACCGACTGCACTGCTTCACGCGCGAGTTCAACGGCGGCGAGGGTAATGACGCGAATGGCGATCCTATTATTGGTGATATGCAGGCGGGAGCATACAACTCGAGGACCATGAGCACCATCTACGGTTTCGACAGGTTCCCCGATATGGTCTCCATGCTCGAGGGACTGCCGCATGCGCAGAGTATGTCATCTCTTTTCTTACTTAACTTCGGTCATGCTGACAGACTTGCAGTTCACAGCATCATCTTTGGCGACATGGGTCCCGCCACCTCGCCCAACGAGCCTCTCTTTTTCCTCCACCACGGCAATGTTGACCGTGCCTGGGCCAAGGTAAGTCCCGCACACAGCTGAGCGGAATTACACAAGATGCAGTATCTAATTTCCTTCGCAGTGGCAAGGCCGTAACGCTACCCGCCTCGCCGATTACGCAGGCTTCAACAACGCGGACAAGACCATCTCCGCCTCCATCACAGATACCATGCCCGTTTTGGAACTCGTCGACGTCGAACCCGTTGTCAAGGATTACATGGACACCCTGAGTGGCCCTCTCTGTTACACCTATTCATCTATGTAAGAATTGTGTGAAACTCTGGCTTGGATCCATTTACTACGATTCAGAAGTCAGCAGAGGTATGTAAGTGGCTTCAGATTGACAGGCAGCCATGAGAGGTGCGCCGCGCCTGAGTTACACATGTGATCTTGGAAGTTTGGCCGGTTCAGAGAACATCCGCAGTTTAAATATACCCATTTGAATGCAATAGTTTTTACACGATTTGTTACTCCATGAATCGGCAGGCTTTGCGTGATAGCATTGACATGATCTCTCTCTTATGTCGCCGTTGAGATCCAACTCTTGGAACCCTGTCCAGATGTGTAAGTCGGCCGTTCGCTCCGAGCCAACGCCTTGTCCACTCTGACTTCAACCTCAACTTGTTTCTGGATCCTTGATACCTTACCATCCGTCGCATTTATGATGCCCATCTCTGTGCCGTCGTTCCCCTTGTAATGTGGTACAAGACCCCGTTCGCTGTGATTATCAGCGGCGTCGGAGCCACTACCATTGCGAATGTAACCGGCCTTGCTCCTGGGCACACTCAACCATGGCCCTGTCTTGGAACGCATACCACCACCGCCAGTCCCAGATGGCCCCTCTCCTCCGTAACTTTGTAGCTTGCTGCGGAAGCCCAGCTTGAAAGACATGATGCGGATGAGCGGCTGGAGTGCTGGGAAGGACGCGACCCATAGGCCGACATGCCCCTCAAGGTTGGTCCAGATACCAATCGTGGACATGTTAAACGTCCTAGCGACTGTTCTTAGCTGTGTATCTCGGTGTTCCTAGCAGAGTGGCCTGCAAGGCCAGACTTACGGGTCAGAGAGAAATTGACTCTTCTTCATCATTGCCAGACGAACGCAGCCAGTAGCCACGACAAAGATGCCGACGCTGAAGACACATATCACCTGGAATGCCCTCTTCGACCAGAGCATCTTGGTGTAGATCACCCAGATAGGTAAGCCCATGAGGCAGAAGTCCAGGACCAAGCCGACGATCTGGTGCACCACCATCATAGTGTTTTGGTATTCGGACGGGACACAGTTCTTTCCAGGAAAGAAGGGCGGCTTCCACAAATGCCTATCGAAGAACAACTGTCAGAGATTGGTGGCCTTATGACAGGTGACTCAGGAGAGACGTACGAGAGAGGGCTGCACTGGGTCAAGCGATAGATGACACATCCCAGTGTCTGCGCTATGACGAAGAATCCCGTCGTGTAGGATAGAATAATGAAGGTTCCTGTGCATGATATTAGGTTTTAAGTGATACTGGTAGTGAGATCGTATTGGATGCATACTGTCTTGGCTCAAGCGTGGCAGGAAGGCAACGATTGAGAGTCTCATTAGGCCAGTACCGATGAGGTAGAGCAGACCATTCGTGACAATTCCCTACAATCAAAAGACTTATGAGCATCTTTGGAGGGATGAAAGAAGACTTGTCAGTTCAGACTCACCTCGAACCATGTTGTGAAGTCAGCCTTCGGGATATACTTGAGATGCGCGCCACTTCCATATTGCACCACTGAGATGGCATTAGTTATGAATCGTCTTTTTTGATATTACATGAACTCACGCCAGATATCCATTGCAGACTCTGAAGTCAGTACTGCCTAGATGTGCGCAAATCTCAGTCAGAGACCCAAGTAACTCGTCTTCATCCAGTCAAACGGTGAGGTGGCGACTAACCCATGCGAGGAATGCCAGGACGTCGTCCAAACCCAAGGCTTTCGCGATGAAAGCGCGGACATATTGTCTCAATCCCACTATTATAGAAGTGCAAACTATGAGCGCAATATTCAGTTGCAAGATCTTGGGCCCAGCATATCCTGGAGATTCCGTGAAGTGAAGCGGTGAGGTTGCTGCTGTCGCTGCCATCTTGCTGATATTGCAGCCGCGGGCAAACTCGAAAAGCGAGAGAAGACAAACGCCAGAAGAAAGGCAAGGGACAGAAGAGAAGGAGAAATGGAATTCAAACAGCGAGTACCATGTCTGGACTCCAGAATAACAAAGGAAGAATTCGCAATCGAGCAGATGCGTAGACTGCAGGCCGCCCAAGTACCAGGGTATGGGATTTTTCTAATGCATAAGTACCAAGCTAAGGAGTCTCTTCATCACCGCCGTGCCGCACACATACATCGCGAAATGTGACTTGGTTGTGTCTACCATAGGATTTACCGAGGAATGCACTTCGGACATGGATCTCCGTGTACCCGACTCATCCGGTGTATGCGTACCTGCGTCGGTAAATTATGAAATGCGCTTCGAGTCACTACTGGCATGTATCTGAATGTGAAATTGCCTTTGCATCTAGCGCAATATATCATGACCTGAGCTGGTGCGAACGAGGCGCTCTGCTTCTTCTGCTAATCTTCTTCTCCACAGATCCTCTCGGAATCGCATCTACGTTACTTGCCTGTACCAGAGCTTTGAAAGCAATTAGTGGCATTACTAGAGGATTGCCGCAGTACATGTAGACGCTACCCTGCCCTCGAATTCCGCACTATTTAACCTTAACCCTTTTCTTACCTATCCTTTCCTCTATTCTACCCTCTCCCTCGTTAAGGGATCGCTAGAATCGTAGTTTTAATAGCTTATTAATAAGCTAGTATTATATACGGCCCTATCCGTCTTATTAATATTAATAATACCCTTTTTAGTATAGGATATATTAATAATACTCTATAGTTACGTTATAATACTTTATAAATTATACCTAACGTTAGTAAGGTTTTTAGTATTATTTATTAAGTTTTTTATTAATATTATTATTACGGGGTTAGTTTAATTATTAATATCTTAATAAGTATTTTAACTTAACTTAGAGGCTCTTATAGTTCTTAAAAAGAGGTTTTTAAAAAACTTATAATTAGACTTTTTATTTATTATAAATAAAGTTATTATAATTAAAACTATAATATTACTTACGGATTTTAATAATAAATAGTTAATAATATAATTATTTTTTTTTATAATAAGCTTAAAAAAGTATTTTAATTTAAGTACTAAATAGGTATTATATTATTTTATTAAAACTATATTCTTATATTTATAACTTAGAAAGAATTAACTTTCTTTAATAATAAGGTACTTAGAAAGTAATTAGTGAGGACGACCCAGGTCTGAATTGCAGTATCATCGAGATTATGATCAAAACCAACAGCTCATCAATACAGGCACTGATTCCGGGTTTGTGGGATTAGCCAAGAATTTTCAGTGGCACCAAATCAATATTAACATGTCCATGAACCATCGAACATTGGCATAAAGATCTCAATTCATAGGAGATTCTTCCCAGACCGTGCCTATTTCTCCCACATTCCGAAGGGCCAACTAGAACGCAGTCGGTTTCAACATGGAGGCGTATCTGCCAAGTGATGGTCAGAAATCATTCCAATCGGCCAGCTTATCCGGTTACCTTGCGTTCGGCTCCAAAGAAAACGAGCGGAGATGATGACCGAACTTGGAAGGCCAATCTAGAAACCCTTGCCAACGACAACCAACAGTCAACAACCAACAAACGGCAGACATTTTCTTGCTCTTTTGGTGTACATCTTACGATTACCTACATGTTGTGGTTGTGATAGGGTCGCTTATACTGTCCCTACGGGATGGCTCCACCAACGCCACGAACCAACACAGCTACTCCAGATTTGATGCCACGACTGCAAGTTTGCATTCTGAAAACCTAACTTCTGCCATGAAGCCTCTCTAATTCACTTGAGAAGCTTTATGGCATTGTGGAAGTCGCCATGTATTTGAGACTTTGGGGTCAACTCAGCATCAGGCACGAGAGCCCCGTCAAAGTGGCATTTCTAGCTATTAGCAACGCGGAGTTGGTTGGAGAGAGCTTCGTGACCCGGGGCTCGTACGATTGGACAGGGAACCAGCTACGAACGTTCACGGAGACCTTGGCAGGGATAGTGTACCAACCTTCTTTCGACGCCGCACACTAACGCAAGCATCCTGCAGGTTCCTTTCCTTTGCCTGCAGATTGCAAGGATGTTCGTCTTTTCCAGCATTCGGCGCTGTCCTCCCCCGAGGAGCGGCCGACATACCGACGAATCATCTTAGCCCCTTTAGCAAAACCATTTCATTCTTCTCTGTTGAAGATTTGCGATTCGAAACCTTTTCTTCAAATTCATGTGACGAGAAGCTGAGTCAAGTTTGCGATCCAGCACAGAGGAAGGGCCCATGGATTGCGGCACAGCCCGAGCGATCCTTCGAGTATCATATTTCTGATAAACATTGATGGTGGGTCGGCCGACTAAGTTGCAAGCTGCAACTCAACCGCTTCCCGAAAGCTCCGTCGCCACATCCACTACTTAGTTGATGGCAAGGTTACATCCCACAACCCGGTGTCCTGCAACCAGGGTCGCGATCCATGGCCCGACATGGACCGACAAGACCAGTATCTCTCGGGGTGAAAGTTGATATCCGGTTCCTCTCGACCTAGCGCTTTGCTACCAAAAGGCTGCGTATGCCCATCTCAGAAGCTCGCTCGAAGTCCATCCCCAATTGATCGGACGAGTCCTATGATTGGTCGCGCGTGAAGATAGCCTCACATTCAACGACTCTCTCGCAACGGCCTCTATCGCCTTCATCTAGACTTCCACCATGTGGTCTCTCTCGTCACTTATCTTGGCTGCCGCGTCTTTTGCGGGCTTCCAACTGCAGGGAATCGCTGCCGCTCCTACGAATGGAACTCACTCAGGATGTTGCCGCAACCCTCTCGTCAGACATGAGTGGCGGCAGCTGTCCCTGGACCAACGTCTGGATTACATTCGCTCCGTCAAGTGCCTAATGGCTCTGCCGTCAGAGGGAAACGATCTTTGGCCTGGGGCAAAGTCTCGCTTCGATGATTTCCAGGGTATGCATATCTACATGACGCAGAAGGTGCATTTTAACGTAAGTTCTACCCTCTATGCTTTAGCCAAAGTAAGGCTATATTAGAATTGGAAAGTCTAACGGTTGATCGTGACAGGGTCCATTTCTCCCGTGAGTAGAAGATGTGCAATGCTCGGATCAAGTTTGACGTCCGTTGCAACTGACAGTGCTCAGATGGCATCGTTGGATGCTTTACCTGTACGAGTCTGAGTTACGCAACAAATGCTCATATGACGGCGCACTTCCGTACTGGGATGTCAGCCTAGACAATACTGCGGAAACTTTCGTCAACTCGCCTGTATTTGACAACGTTTACGGCGTCGGAGGCAACGGACCATACATCGAAGACGTGAGCGATAAAGATGAGTTCCCGGTTCAGAAGCCGATTACAATCCCGGGCAGAAGCGGCGGCGGTAACTTCTTCACTCCAGAGCTTGGCACAGTGGCATCTGGCTAACAGAGTGGATAGGCTGTATTGTGGAAGGACCATTTGCAAACCACACCGTCCCCATGGGCCTTGGTAAGTTGCGTTGTCTAGCCTCAGACGACGATTGGGTTTAAAACTCGCCATGCTGACGGGCTAAGGATTATCTGTCACCTCAACACCCCACTGCCTGCGCCGCGATTTCAGTCTACCCATCATCACGAGTGCCCTTAGTGACGAGGTCATCGACAAGACTCTCGCAGCGGCCACATTTTCCGAATTCAACCTGGCCATTCAGGGGTATAGCATGCAGGTTAGCGGCATGACTTTGCATGCGGGCTTGCACATTGGCATTGGCGGTGCGGTTGGCGATGTAAGCAGCCGTGATTACCTGCTAGACTGATGGTTTCTGGTTGACAACTTGGCTGACCCGTGATCACCCGTTAGTGTGCTGACATGTACTCCTCTCCCGGAGACCCCGTCTTCTACTTCATCCATGGCGCTTTGGATAAGGTTTGGAATGACTGGCAGCGTAGAGGTACGTCTACTTCTTTTTCGGTCTGACTGGATAGTCGCATTTTTGTTTATGACTAATTGCAAGTACTAATAAACCCTTGCAATGTTGCAGACTGGCCTGCGCGCAAGACGGATATCGGCGGCCCGGATGTGATATTTGGCTATCCGTTCAATTACACCACGAATCCCGCCTACGAGAATATCACTCTGCAGTATCCCTTGTCTTACCCTAATTTCGGCAAGGATATGATTGTTGCTGATATGATGGATATTCACGGGGGTCCTTTCTGCTACGAGTACAAATGAGGGCGCCCGGGGACGGCCTGCAGGCGATGAAAATACTAATGCTGTAGCGAGGGCATCGATCAGACGCCTCGCTAACATCAAGTACTGAAAGTACCTGGAGTAATAACATAATGTAACATTTGACATTTGACTCTCGTTCTTGAGGAAGTGGAAACATCTTGTCGTCACGTTCACTGCTAGATGGGATTCACTGACACGTTGAGAACCTATTATCCCATCCCGATGGAGCAAGACTGCCACCAGCAGGCAGTTATGACCTTGGTAGCGTGCTTCGTTGACTCGTTCACACATCCATTAGGCTGACCAAGAATCTAGATCTAGATCTTTGTGATTTTCAGGCTAAACAGCGTTGACGGACCATAACCCTTGGCGATTTGCTCCCGGGGTTTAGGAAGCCCCCACCAGCGGCGGGATATCCGAAAGCTAACGTCGGAACTCCATACGACACGTGCAAGTGATCAGCCTCCTTTCTTCTCTCCTTTTCTAAAAGATGATTTCTTTTTTAGCTCAGGTTCGGCGAACGGCGTAACGTTTTGGCTTGCGTCTGTCCAGACCCGACTTCGGCTCGAGGAGAGCCAGGAATGAAAGGCCACGTACCTTAGGGCCAGTCTCGGCTACTCGTAGGATCCCAAAGGCAGTCACTTAAAGTCATGGTAGCTTCTAAGATCGAAACACTACAGGCTGAAGTTCACGATCCAACCGCCGCCAGCCATATCAAATGAGGAGGAACGTGTAAGTTTCACCG